ACTCAGTCAGTTCTAAGAATGAGTGCTTGAATTGACATAAGAATCGGTCAAGGTAATGCGAATGGCAAGGCCGCATAATATATATTTAACCCATGGTTAAATTTACCATCCAGAACTATATCACCTCAGAATGATAAATCTACTACTTAGTGTTACATTTGTTTGGATTCTGAATATTCTTCACTAAAAACTTTTTACTATGTACAAGTAAGCTTCTGTGAGATGGGTCACTGTTCCGTGGTGCGGGGGAAAAACCACCGAAAAAGAGGTAGTTGTGAGAGAATTCATGGAGGAAAACTCTGAGCGGACCAAGCTCAGAGAACCGTCATACGTTACCCCCTTTGGCTGCGGAGAAGGGCAAACACACTCTCTGTCCAAGACGCGTGACAACGGTCGGCAGTAACCAAAATCATTTGCCAAGACTGAATGGAATGGAAGCACAAACAAAAATGACCTGTTTCATGCATGCAGTTCGAGTCAGACTACATTGAACGACTGACGGATGGACATGACCAATACACTTCAGCAGTGACGCATGGGAACCAAAAGATTGCAAGCGCTCAAATGGAAGGCCTCGGCTTAAACGGAACAAGAGCTAAAAACGAAATATAAAACTTCGTGGTGACAAATCGCACGCGACAGACGGACGTGGAAATTGAAATTTTGCAATGGTGGCCCCGTTGGTTACGAAGAAGGATCAGTCAAACGTTGTTGTACAGGTAAACAGAGCACAAAGAACACTGAGAAATACGAAGTTGTCAAGCCTGTCAAAATTTGCTGTTGTTAACTCTACTGTGATTACTGACATTATCATCGTCATGAAAGACTAACATCGCCTGAACGGTAAAGTTGTTCAGATTAACATGACTCTGGCTGATATCAGTCATCATTTGCTGCTGTACGCAAAGCCATATTCCCTCTCGAAAGCGTTTCTGAGTCAGGTTTTCAGAATTGTATGGTCTGCATAGCGTCAGAGACCAGTGCAGAAAAAATTTAAAGCTTAAATAAAAATGACAATAAAATGTCACGTCATTCAGCAAAGGAAACTTCCAGAGCTACTCAACAACTTGACTTGCATTAAAGCTTAAAAATTTTTTACCTGAATCATAACTGTCAAGCAGTTTCAAGTATCGTTTGTCGTCTCGAGCTGTAAGTATAACCTTATGTACACGTGTCTTCTATTATTTGTTCACTTAGTTATTAGGTTCAGCAACTAGTACGATTAAAAGACGCGCCTTCCAACAAAGCATCGAGGGAAACGAGGTGCTGGTCTTAAATCAAAGGTCATTAATAATTATTCGAAACAAATGAAAATAGACTTAGTTAAAACAGTTTATCAACTTTACATGAAACACGGACGACCGCTGCAGCGGTAGGCATCATGTTTCTTGTCGAAAGGAGGTCCGGCTTTATTTAGCTTCAAAGCTGTCTAATGTAATGAATGCATCTAATACACGTAAAGAACATGCTTACATTCACTGATCGAATGGCATTCATAACGTCACGTCGTGATTTATAATTGAAAACTTTTCGTATCGCAAAAGCAGCAAAAATCGTACTTCCTGCACAATAAATTTTCAGACGTGTAAGGTTACGTTCATGCGAATGTACGCTTTCAGTTGGTTCTTTCTGGTTACTTTGCGAGTCTATCTTTTGCAGGTTTCGCTACAGTTGATTAATAACAGAGATGAACCATCGTTATATTCACTTGTGAACAAAGTACGATTATTTGGTCAGATCGATAAAGAACCGACTCGGCTTCGCTCGCGCTGCAAGATTTGTCGAGCAAAGCAGGAAGGAATGCACGAGGGAGAGAAGGGAATGGAAAGTTCGGGTACACTAGCATCTACGGTCGTTTGCACCATTCCTCGATTCATTCCCATTTCGAACAGATTCACGTCATGAAGACACGAAAGTAGATGTGTTACTCTAGACAACAACGTTACGGCCTCTGAAGGAAGTTACAAACAGAAGATGCACTTCAGCTAATGAAATCTAGCAGGTAGCTAAGATTAAGCAAACCTGCACAGCTAACGTGCTGAAAGTGATGATTCGCAGTCGAGCGACTGCGGATTCGAATTCCGCAATACCCCCAGAGGCTAAAAACTTTCTTTTTTCTTTCCCAATCGACCGCATTTACACAGGCGAACAGCATTCATCATCTCTCTTGTACCTCAGTAAGACTGAGGATAGAGACAGACTGAGCGGTGACAACCTGAATGCGTGTGTGTGCGCGTGATTGGTTGAGCAGCTTGCTTACGCAGAACGTCTTTGGTCCGTGACATGTGTTGAATTCGCACCTTTTTGAAAATTTTCGTTATAAACACCGGTGACTGAATCATAGAAAAACAGTTATTCTCCGAACGCGGTGGGCATGCCAGATATATTGTAAGAGACATTTACATGGATATGGACTGAATTCGTCACAGCATATAATTTCTCTGCGCCTCCACCTTCAAAGTCACAGTTACACAGCATTTTAAGTCGGTTGTACGACTCCATTACGACCACCGATCGTTTGCCTGCCACAAGAATGCATCGCCGTCATCGATCACCAAACACTCTGGCAATTCTTACTCGTTTAACTACTGATATCGGATTTACACTTTACACGAAAACTTCGTTGCCTTTCGCCGTGTCAACCCGGTGAGTATCAGTGGTTAAAGGATTATATCTACCGGCGGAATCTGAAAGCTGTCATTCATGGTAGCTGCCTCAGAACCTCGAGGAATTCCTTTATTTCACTTTCTGCCAGTTTTAAACTATTTGCATGGTTTCGCCTTTGGAGTGACACAACGTTATTTGCCTCCGTTGCTCACAGTCGGCAAGCGGTTTCGCTTCGCACTGACTCTGCGCAGCATTCGTCGCCCTGCAATAAGGCACATAGCTGAAGGCAGACTAAAAAGCGGCAACGTTCTTACATCGTTCAACCGATTGCATCTACATGACGTTTACAGACTTAACTCCGATTTATCGATGACAAATGCTGCCGGATGATAAAACATGTCACGTCGCGCAGAGTCGCCCTCCGATGGCGCCGCCCGCGACACGTTGGCGATGTGCGCGGCTTTGAAGGACCGCAGTCCTAACAAGTCAAGCACCTCGCTTCCCGCCTCAAGACGAACGTAATCAGACATCCGTAATTTGCAACAACAACAAATATATGGCCAAAATCTAACCACGTGTCCGGTCAGCCAAGAATGCCTTCTGCTGTACCCATGTCAGTCCCTTTTACATATTGACAATACACACCCATTAGTGGCACAGTTCTTTTGCGAAGCTTACGGTATGGCGCTAATCTCTATTCCTGTAATTAGGAGTGCGCTGTTTATAGGATAATGTCTATTGCATCGCTGTCACTGGAGCGTTTGTCCCATGCGTCATGTCCCCGAAGCATTTCTTACTAATCCGCCTCGCAACGATGAAAAGAGGATTGCTTCGGCCAACACTGGAACTCATGATCTTTAGATCGTGAGTCCGACGCTCTGTCTGTGCTGGCCTGATCGTTTTAAGCATGAAGGAAGCTCTTTAGCCCAAGGATGACAGCCCGCTTCTCGAGGTAGTGGTTACCAGATGTGTAAAATATGGTAATATCTCTGAGATAAATCTGTAAAGAACATTGGGAACGTAAATCTGGACGAAATTG